ACGTGTTTATGTAGCAGATTCACTTTGCTGTATACCGGAAAGGCACAACGCTGTAGATCAGTTATACCCCAATAAAAAGTAAAAGCATTAGTCTCTTCTAGCCTTATATGTTCTCCTTCAGATAACACTTATGTTCTCTGGCAAGGTCCTTTCCCAATTCACCCTCAAATGAAAAAGGCTATGGTTCCTTACTGACTAGAAACCAGTGTGCACTTTTTACGCTGGAGTTCCTCCTCTTCCCTCTAGTTTCAGCACCTACCCAATCAGTGGCACAGAAGACCATAAAACATGCACAGGCCTGAACCTCTTACAAGGTAACGGTGTGGAGCAGTTATTTGTGTCCATTCTTTTTGTCTCTTCCCTCCTTCTCTTGTTGGTTTAGGTACATCTTTCTACCTCCTTCGATAAGGGCACATCTATATTTCTCTCAGATTATGTGTAGCTGTAAGTCACAATTTAAGCTCCTCCACAACACCTAACTCATTTCTGTATACTGCCAATTATGCTAAACTTTTTCCTAATTTTAAGTACTAGGTGAATATACTCACTTGAAGCTGCTCTATGGTATTCAGAACAAAGAGACATTATTTGTATTTCCTACTTCCAGAAATGACAAGAGTGGGAATAGACATACCTATGTATTACCAAAAAAGAGCTTTCTTGTCCTAAACCAAAACTATACATCTTTTCCAGAATAAAATCCAGAAGGCTCAGTGATAAGATACTTTGTAGTTTCACACTTCCCCAGATCTTAATTTAACATTTACATACATGTGCTGTGTGCTCAGTCACTCAGTGTTGTCCGACTCTTTTATAACCCCATGGACTTTAGCCCTTCAGGCTCCTCTGGCTGTGGGGATTCTCCAGGCTGGAGTGGGTTGCCCTGCCCTCCTCCAGGGGATGTTCCCAACCCAGGGATCAAACCCACGTCTCCCTCATTGCAAACAAATTCTTTACCATCTGAGCCACCAGGGAAGTCCATTTGTATACATAATACGATATAATTAAACTAACAATCGTGGATTTATTTCACAACTCACGTATGTTACCTGAATGTTCCCATTAAAGTCCAGATATTAATACTTTGGTTTTCCTTTTCTTTGAAAGTAAGGTCTACCCTACTCTACTGCTTGAGACATAACTTAAAAATGGTTTTTATTATAAATCAATCTGGTTGGGTATTAGAGTTATAACTTTAGAAATTAGAACTGGTTTACCTAAAAGTTTACATATCAGTGACATAAAATTGTTTTTCTTCATCAAAGTCTCCATTAGGAAAGTCAAAAGGGAAGTCATAAACCAGAAGACATTCACAATATACTCAAATCCAGACTACATTAAGAAGTCCTATATATCCACAAGACAAGTAAACCAACCTAAAAAAAAAAGGTAACATGTAAGTTGGTACTGTATAATAGAGGACATTCAAATGGCCAATAAGAACATGACAACGTGGCCAACATCATTAAACTTCAGGGAAATATGAAAAAACACAATGATAGACCATTACATCCCCCTAATAATGGCTAAAATTTTTTTAAATGAGATATAATATATTACATTATATTAGCTTCAGGTACACAACATAATAATGTTCTGCATATATTGAGAAATGACCATAAATTTTTCCCCCAGTTTTACTGAGATATAATTGACATATATCACTGCAAAAGTTTGACGTATACAGCATAATGGTTTGACTTATACATATTGTGAAATGGTTACTCTTAAGTTCAGCTGATATGGATCATCTAAGTACAATAAAAAGAATAAGAAAAAAATACATTTTTTTCTTGTAATGAGAACCCTTAAGTCTCTGCACTCTTCATATGCATCACACAGCAGTGCTAACTAGTCATCATGCTGTACATTACATCCCTAGTGCTTATTTATCTTCTAACTCTTGACCATGTTCCTATAATTCTTTTACACATACACACACACACACAAAACCTCTGAGAACCACAAATCTGATCTCTCCTTCTGAGTTTTGCTTTTCAGATTCCACATAAAAGGGAGACTACAGAATCCGTCTTTATCTGACTTATTTCACTCTGCATAATGCCCTCAATGCCCATCCACAGTGCACATGGCAGGATTCTTTTTCTAACAACTGAAATGTTCCCCACTGTGTAGATGCAGACCACATCTTCAGACCACATCTTCTCTAGCAACTCATCTGTCAATGAACCCTTAGGTGGTTTCCATGCCTTGGCTGTTAAAAACAATGCTATTATGAACATAAGACTGTGTATCTTTTCAAGTTAGCATTTTCATTTCCTCTGGATATATTCTCAGAAGTGGAACTGGTGAATCATATGGTTGTTCTAT